CCATTTTTTCAAATTATTGTTGCTTTTCCACAATAAATTTTCATTTAAAAAATGGCCTCGAGCTCACTATAAAATTGTTGAATATAATTGTTAAAAAAAGGCCAAAAAATAACAAAAAACAAATAAAATATTTCTCAATTTACATTTTAAAGTTTTTTCTTAAACTTGAATGTAACTCTGTGCGGAGAATGAGAGAATTGAAAATCAGGTGATCTGAGCTGTTTTCAAATATAAACGAACAAAATGGCGCTTTCCATACTTGTAAGCCTATACAATGCTTCAAACGGTGTATTCTATGTACATACATCATAAAAATTTTGTACAAAATTCCTTAGGCGCCGAACGCCGCCCGTGCGCCGATATTTTCGTAGGTCGGCGGCGGCGCGTGAGGTATGACAAAAAACGGCGGCGGCTATGGCTTATACCTCTACTTCACGCTTGATCGATCCTTTAGTTCTCTTGTCTCCTATTGGGTAATTGTGCATTTCATGGTCCCCACCGAAAATTGATGCCGAAAGGTGTATCAAACGGCGCGTATTACTGCCAGTATTAAGAATCCGAAGGCGGAAACTTATTTTTTTACACCGTTCAAAAGTTATTTGCAAAAAACTGTTTCATTTAGCACAACTTTGTAAGTACTGAAATCACATTAATAAATGCACGAAATGAGTACATATTAATATCTCGATGTTCAGCCTAGTTTATTTTACCCGAATTTATAACAAAAAACCACGAAACTTAATGATTTAATGATGTATTATACTGAAAACCACGAATATAAACCCGGCGTCTCCTTTTTATTCCGCTAGTTGTAATTAAAACATGGAGGTGCTTGGTGTTGCCAATATATTACTATTAGAAAAGGTTTTATTTAGAGATGCCAATAACAATAAATGTAAAAGATTTTAAGTATTTTACAAATAAACAAATATAATTAAATTTAGATTGCGTTTATATTTTCGGTATATAAGAATGCACCCCTTCACAAATCGTTATGTAATTCGGAACAAGTGAAGAATACCCACCGTTTCGCTAGAAAAAAACTAAAAATAGGAGTAGATAGAGCTTTTTGAGCTGATTATAACGGTACACAAATTTATATGCAGAAATTAAAATTAAGCGAGATATCGAAGGTCAAAGATCGAAATTCGCTTTTTGAAAAACCGTAATATCTCAAAAACTAGTAAAGCGTTTGTAAAAGTTAATATATAGTTTTAAAGGAAACTAATACACCTTTCTTCTGGTATGCATTCCTTGGCCCTTACATTTCTAATTTCTGACAAAAATTGGATTTATAAAATCTATATGAAAAAATTCCATTTAAACTGCTTTTTTTCAAAACTAGCCTTATTAAGATATTGTTGTCATTCTTTTGGTATAAAGAAAATTAATTTCTATTTTTGCGTAGAACTCCTTTCTTCGTAGGCGGGGTTCGGCCGCGCTTTAGGATTATAACCCTTACCAAATAGAATTCTCCTTTTGGTGTGCACCAACTGGGGCTACCGCCCCAGGGATGTAGCCTTGGGAAAGGATGAAGTAGCTAGAATTCCCTCACTGTGTGGTAAACCTGGGGCTGCTGACCCAGTGATGTCTATTATGGTTACTGATAAAATAATCATTTGGCGCACCAAAATACCGCATTGTTTTTGCACAAGTATTCCAGCATCAATGTGATTTCGCACAAATCACAGATAATTCGATAAAATAAATTATAAGGTAATACTGTAAAAAAAATCGCCAGAATTGGTCAGTCGAGATAACCTATAAAGCAAAATCTTGTATGTTTTTTGTTGGCATCCCTGCTTTAAACCTTTTCTGTTATTATTGAACTTTCAACACCAAGCACCCCCATGTTTTTATTACAACTAGCGGAATAAAACGAAGACGCGGCTCGAGCTATGTGGGGCTAACACGTTTGGTTAAGGTCATTCTTGATTCAATGGCACGCCGAACTACCCAGCAGATTGTGCCTCACGCGGAATGTCAACTGCAGCGCTAACAAATTTTGAGTTATGGTGGAATGGACCAAGCTGGTTAAGCAGCGGGGAGAAACTTAACAATATTTTAGGTAAGAACATTTGTCTCACTCCTCACATAGACCCAGACGTTACAAATGAAGTCAAAGGTACCATATTATCCATTAAGGAAGACGATATATTAAACACTCTCATTGAACGTGTATCTTCGTGGCAGTGACTATTACGAACCCTTTCGTATGTGCATCGCTTTATTGATCGTTTACGCAAACGATCTCCACACTCCTCATCAATCATATTGACCTTCGACGAAATTGATAATGCTCGTAACGTACTTCTGCGTCATCCCAAGCCTATTTTAAGGACGACATCGAGTCCCTTAAGTGCAAACAAAACATAAATAACCGCTCGATAATCATTAAATTAGCACCGTTTTTATACGATAAAAACCTTCTTCGAGTAGGAGGACGGATCTCCATCTCTTGGATATGGAGGCCAAGCATCCGATCATTCTACCTAAACGACACAAAATCACTGATATTATACTGACGTATAATCCAGGTGTTTCAGCAGTCTTCGTCATAGTACAACAGCATTATTGCATATTAGGGGCAAGGAATTTAATCCGAAAAATCACGCACGCTTGTTTAAAATGCTTTCGCCAACGGAGTTCGAATACGCAACAATTTATGGCAGACCTTCCTTAAATTCGTGTACTACGAGCATTTCCATTTCAGCACACTGGATGTGATTACGCGGGACCGATGACAATGAAACTTCATCGAGGCAGAAACGTTCGTTAGTCAAAAGGGTACATTTGCATATTTGTATGTCTCGCCACGAGAGCTATTCACATAAAGTTCGTGACAGATTGATCTACGGATGGATTCCTATCAGCACTTCGCCGCTTCATGTCATGCAGACGCAAATGTACACAGCTGTTCAGTGACAATGGACGTAATTTTTTGGGTGCTTCACGTGCTCTCAACGAAATGTGCCAGATGTTACTATCGTAGGTGCACAACGAGACAATTGCGGAAGTTTTGGCAGGAGAAGGTATTCGATGGACATACCTCCTCACGCACCTCACTTGGGCGGTATATGGGAATCGGCGGTTCGATCTGTCAAACTCAATCTGCGCCGTGTCATTGGCAACACGATTCTTACAACTGAGCAACTTACTACTCTTCTGGCGCAGATTGAAGCTGTTGTTAACTAACGGCCACTCGGTGTGACACCTGATTCAGATAATCACTATTTATCACTTTCCCATTTTCTTATACATATATTTTCTTACTGAACATTTGTGTGTTTACTTGACATTTGTGTGTTTACGTTTTCTTATTCACATTTAGCCTGTTCCCGTATTGCAATATTTAGACAGAAATAGTCCGAAATAAAAAATTTAGCTCAATAGAACTTTTCATGCTGATTTTAACCATAAAAAGATTATTTTGCGCAAATAAAAACTAAAGCCAATGAAAGAGGTTAAATTTTTACTTTTATATTTCTTATAATTATAATATCTCGGAAACTATTTGAAAGATCACAAACGTATTGATGCCAATTTAAACATAATTGAAAACAAATTTTAAATAAACGCCATTAAAAAAATATATTTATATATTTTTTGGTTATTAGGTATTTCTGGCTTAAAAATTAAAAAAAAGAAAAAAAAAACAAAGTTAAATAGCCCCTAATTACCTTAATTTAGACGTCATTCGTTTTTTAATAGGTTATATTGTTCAGAAGATATTAATATTTAACCTTTATGTCAACAGCAGAAAAATTATACGTACGTCAACAGTAGCATACCCGGGTATGCACATACATTTTGTATGGGAAATGGCATTGTGTTATGACGAAAATGTGAATATTTAAGACATTTCTTCTAATCTGGCTAAGACTTTATTATTATTTTCAAAAAAAAAATGTCTATTTTGAATATGTAAAACAAGATTTGAGAAATATGTTATTTTACTGTATAAATAAGACCCCACTTTATGATCATGGGTTTTGAATTTATATGAAAAAAGGATTGTTTTGGTAAAAGTACTTTAAAAATTATATGAGGAAGGGGTATTTATTTATTTATTTATTTATTTCAGTCTAAAAAGTACAAACTTTCTTACAGACTAGTTAAAAATAGTGAAAAGTTCAAGCTTAAATTTATATATGCTATTATTAAAGTTAAGAAGACCACTATATCGATGTGCTAAGCGTATAGACTTGGAAATGGGTTCATTCAACGCATAATTCGTTCTATGAGTTATTTCAACAAATAGTCTGGTATTCCTTAAATCGCGTGGTGGAATGTATGGAATGAATAAATTGGATAAATCAGAGCAGTTTATATTACCGTTGATAGCATTATAGGCAAGCATGAGGGAGATGCAAGTTCTTCGGTCATGCAAAGCCTGAAGGCCGAGCAATTTACGTCTGCTGATGTACGATGGGAGGCCATCAGGCCAATGAAGCATACGCAAAGCAATTTTGGTGAAAATTCTTTGAACTCTCTCAATTTTATACGAATTAGCTTCATAGAATGGACTCCATATAATGGAGCAATATTCCAAGCGACTTCTTACCAATGACGTGTAAAGTACCTTCAGAGTCATAGGATTCTTGAAGTCACAGGAATTACGTCTAATAAACCCAACCATTGCGAAAGATTTCGAAACAATAAAGTCAATATGACCAGAAAAAGAGTGCTGGTTGTCAAAAATTACACCAAGGTCTTTAATTTCCCGACAACGATTTAAAGATCCGGTATTAAGTATGTAGTTAAAAGATGTGATAGTTACCTTTTTTGAATAGGAAACCACGCAACATTTGTTGATATTTAAAAGTAAGTTATTACTTGTACACCATTCGTTAAACGAATCGAGATCATGTTGCAAGTTAACGCAGTCAGAAATATCATGTACGGTTAGAAAGAGTTTGACATCGTCTGCGAACATTAAACATTTAGCAAATTTGAATTTTTGAGGCAAATCATTAATGAAGATTAGGAACAAGAGAGGGCCACAGTGGGTTCCCTGTGGGATTCCCGACCAGGCATTGATAAGCACAGTAGACTGGTTGGTTCCGATTGACACAAAAAGCTTTCTATTCGATAAGAAACTTGAGAAGAATTTCAGCAAACTTCCACACACTCCATACATTTCCAATTTGTGCAATAGCATAGAGTGATCAACCTTGTCAAATGCTTTCGAGAAGTCAGTATATATGACGTCAAGTTGCGCATGGGTTTCAAAGGCATCTACAATTTGGCTAGTGAGTAAAGCCAAGTTAGTAGAGGTAGACCTGCCGGGAAAAAATCCATGCTGACTCCCGACAATAGCCTCCTCAATGAAATCAAACAATTTGCTTTGAATGATATGATCGAATAGTTTTGCCAGAGTACTCTGCTTAACAATAGGTCTGTAGTTGCGAATATCATTGCGATCACCAGACTTGAATACCGGATTTAAGGAGCATAACTTCCAAGAGTCTAAGAAGATCCCATAGTTCAAGCAACCCTCGAAAAGAAGTGCCAGGGGTTCTGAAATTGTATTCGAACATAGTTTGAAGAATATGGGAGAAAATCCTTCACTATCTGACTTAGGACTATTATTCAATTTTGAAATTGCCAGAGATACATCTTCGGCGGTAATATCAAAAGAAGAAATTCGACCAAGAGAACCAGAGTAGAATGTCGGACTAGGTAAAGATGTATGATTCGAGTATACCTTCTGGAATAAATTGGCAAATAAGTTGCAGATATCCGCCGCATCATTGCACGATACACCGTCATACTCCATGCACGTCGGAAATCCGCTAGTCTTTCTCTTGGAATTAATAACCGACCAGAAACTAGATGGGTTAGTCTTCAATTTTGATTCCAAATTATTCATATATTGTCTGAACAAGAACTTATTAAGACAATTAAAAGTAGATTTAAGCCTGACAAAGATAAGACGATCGGATTCACTCCTGCTCCTCTTATACTTTTTAAAGGCCTTACGTTTTTTATTTTTAATATTATTAAGTCTAGTATTGAACCATGGTGGTCTATTGCTCAAAGTTTTCCGTTTTCGTGGAACAAAATTGGAAACTGCTAATGAAAGCTTCTGCTTTAGAATTACATAAGAGGCCTCAGGCCCGTTAGTGGAGTCCAAGAAGGACCAATCAGTGCCGAGGAAAAAATCATTTATCGCAGTAGCATCAGCCTTGAAATAACTGTATTCAGAAATATTTGCAACTGTGGTTTTATCAAAGTTATAAAACTCGAAATTTGCAACCAAAGCATTGTGATGGAAACTGTTTTCCAAGATTGGAGATAGACACTCCAGACAAGATATTCTTAGATCATCAGAACCAAAAACGAGATCAAGGAACCTACCATTACTGTTTGGTTGAAAATTGTATTGTTTCAAGCCATACGAGAACAGAGTGCTAACAACAAGCATATCGATATCAGATCTGATATTTGTGGGTAAAGTATTACAAACACTTGACCAAGAAATATTACTTAAATTAAAATCACCTAAATATATAATCTCATCAGACGGATTAGAAATATTTATAACACTATTAATATTATCTAAGTGTTTCTGATAGACAGCAATTTCGCTACTTGGCGGAATATAAGACAAAACTATTATTATTGTTTTATTGTCATTAAACTTAACGCTTACACAGATTTGTTCAACGCCATCATCTATCAAATCACTTATAATTAGTTTACTACTTAGATCAGCTCTAATAGCAATTAAAACACCACCACCCCTCTCAAGACCAGTGGCGTTAGGGCACCGATCATTACGAAATACGTTATAATAGCCGTCGAAGAATTCGTTAGATGAGAAATTTTCATTTAACCAAGTCTCGGATAGAGCTAATATATCATACTCGTGTGAACTGACGTTACGATAAAATTCTGATGATTTAGTACGCATACCACTAACATTCTGATAATAAAGCGCATAACTCGCTTTTGACTTATTAATAGGTTTACTGTTATCTGAGATCTAGTGACTAT